AATCGATTGCCGGAAATCGATTACATTAACGTATGTGTAAAAAATATTTGTATAATCTTTAACATAGCATTTGTTACAATCCCGATTGTAACAACATGTTATGTTATAATATACGTTATTTGTGTTACATCCCGGTTGTTATCCTACGAAATGTTATATATACTTTATTGACCAGGATTTAGTTTTCACCAGCTATCTACAATAATTTTATGAATTAATAATTACGAGTTACTCACGTAAATATACTGAGAAAATCTCGCCGCGACTAGTAGAGGACTAGTAGACGAAACTAGTAGAGACGAAAGTAGTAGAGGTTTTTCAATACATTTAAGTGAGTAACTCGATCTCGACTCACAATAGTAATATAAAAACATAGTTTAAACTGTCAAACACCGCGAGGACACCGGTGACCACAACCTTTTTTTCTTTAATTGTGTCTATAATGTCCTTAGTCTGCCTACCCCCATGGGAGACAGGCGTGAAATTATGTATTTATGTGTGTCTATAATGATGGTACTCAAATAACTTTGCCCCGTTTTTGTAGGTTTTCAGATTGGAATTTTATATGACCTAGATGCCATATAAAATGACCACTCAGGCAACGAGAAATGGATACTCGCAAGTGGGACTGGCGGGTAAGGGATATTGGGTTTGATTCCCGGGTCGAACAAAATATTACTGGGTTTAAAAAAAATTCTCAGTAGTAGCATGGAGTCTGGAAATGTGCCCGGTATATGGCAATAGGCACACCCCCTATTACATGGGACTCATAACATAAATAGTGAAAAGTGGGTGTTACATTGTACAGTGGTATTAAGTGCCGAAAGCACCTCTGCCTTCCGGGATAAAAGGCGTGATGTTATGTTCTCCTCGTCACCTGGTGGTAAGCGATGAGCGGCCTATAAAAAATTGATATAACACGATGATTCAAACGACCAAGACTATATTACTAAGTTTGATTCTTAATTTAATGACACTATAAATTAACACTACCTCAATATATTAATGCGATTAATGCAAATAGCTGTAATTTCCTTGTTGATTTATTGGTCGTTAAAATACTGCAGAGTACAAGGTCTTGATGTCGAATCCTGTATTAGGTAAATCAACATTTAAATATACATAATAATTGTGTATATTTTATACGGGTTTGTTTTATATTATATATTGATTTTGATTGTATGTATGTATGTAATCGCCAATCCGCATTGAGCAAGCGATTTGGTGATAACCTTTTCGCCGCCCAGCTATACTAAACACGATGTGTCGCCGTACGCCAACGTATAAATGTATAATAAATGTATAGTACGAAAGTAGGGATGGCGGTAACATCATGTCGATAATGAAAAAAAATATGTGTAAATTTAAATTGGTACTCAAATTTACAATTAAAAATACAAACTGTTAAGTTATAATGGTAATTTGTTTTATTTTATGAACATTTATACTAAGAAAAATGGGTATCCGTTATCAGAGATGAAGATACATGCATAGAGTTGCTAGAGATAATAATAATAATTCGTAACATTAGCCACTTCACTATTCATTTCATAACGTAGTCTGTTTACTTCATATCAAGTCATTGGCGTTCAAAGCACGATACATTTCGTAAGGAATAGTTGTCTATGCTTTTCTTTCTTTCTATCGAGTTTGGTTTGCTTTTGGTTTTAGTTTACATTTAAAATCTAACGTCAGGTCACGATCAGGAACATTGTTTGTAGTGATTAAAAGTGGCAACATATGTGTAGTTTTGGAAATGGATGGTAAGTAACTATTTTAATACAGATGTACTAAACTTTAATAGCTTATTTTTCATTTAATGCAAATGAAAAACTGGCACGTTTGATGGATATTAGGTAGTCATAAAATACCTATTCGTTGCGGCTCTCGGTTTCGCAAACTTTTAGCTGTGTCGGCGAACAAATATAGACCTGAGTCGATCACAAATTTTTCGCGACCCAAACAGTTTGTAATCGAATCAAAATGACTCAATCATTTGGATATTTCATAATCATGAAAATAATTATAGGTATAGGCCGTGCGATTAATTATGAGCGCTGGACGAAAGTAGAGGGGGATGCGCAGTAGCGATTTTATACTAAGAATCGCTACTGCGCATACCCCCTCTACAATTTAGTTCATCAGCGAGGGCTCGTCGCTCGTGACATCATAGTATCCATTTTGCACTGCACTGGAAAAATGTGCGTGCACGCGTCGCCCGGAACTATGACACAATGACCTTGACGCCTAAGCGCTTACGACGTCACAGGTTTACTTCTATTGAAGTTGACGGCGCTAGTGTCACTCGACATCTTGCCATTACGTAGAGATGGGTCTAGCAATATCGAAAACCCTCAGTACATAATAATTAATTTTAATGAAATGATTTGATAGGTAGATGTACATTAATTTTGAAACGCATTGTAATACGTTATTTACTGACCGGAATTTCTTTTTATTCATAGAATTCAAAAAACTATTGGATGGAAAAGAAAACAAATATTATAGTAAATAAAGATTCTAATGAATGCTCCTTACGCGTCACATCACTGGCCTACTTGATATGAAGTCGTTGGCGTGCGGGATATAAAATTATTTGAAACCTTTTATGTTTTACCTTTTTAAAACAGAAAATAGTCTGTTTTGCATGAGAAAAAATAGTTCGTCGTGTCCATATTACAAAATTACAAAGAAACAAATGTTTTATGTATCGTAAATGTATTTTTTATAGTAGGTAGATACAATGAACTTCTATAGAAGTAGTGGCGTGGACGGCACGAAAATCCTGAACTTCTATAGAAGTTGTTGGCGGCGAAAAGGTTATGCTCAAACCTTTTCCGTGTGAGAAGAGGCGTTGCTCAGCAGTGAGTGTATAGGCTGATCTTTTACCATTGGTCAGTGGTGTCTAAATAATCTTAGAAAGTACATAACTCGGAAAAAGACACATTAGTACTTGCCGTTGGTAGGTTTTGAACCCACACTCTCATGCATGAGAAGCGGTCAGCTTAAACCTCCGAGCCACCTCGACTATGTGACTATGACTATGCGAAAATATTCATCAAGAAAAAATAAATAAAAAATGCGAGTGGCTACCATTCTTTGCTCTCAAGTGTACATAAGTATGTATTTAACACATATTAAATTCAATTATTTATTAATTCAATACCAGTTTTATGTCTTTAAATTATAGAAACACGAAGATATATATAATTTTGCACCTGTTTGTTTGTTTGCCTGTGTTTATTTACCTTGTTTGTTTATTAATTCTAAGGGCAGGTAGAAGATGATTTGAATTTTAATCTTGTGTTACACACACATACATACATTGTGTAGTGTTGTATAGGTAACGTTGTTATTATTTTACAATTGTTTATCATGGGAAAAACAAAAGCGCACAAATTTCGTTGAAATATGAGAAATGGTTTTTTTTTGTGTCGTTGTATCGAGTGACTTCTCCTGCTTGGCGAGGCGGGAGAGAGTGTCAGACTCATACTGACTAAAAACAACCCGTCCCTACTCCTGCACTTCGAGCCGGAGCCCCGGCAACCCGTTAAGTTCTCCGTGGCTCCGCATCAGCATCAGCCCTATTAGGCCCCATCCGTGGTGGTCTGATGGCTCTTTGACGCGGAATGCAATACGCCGTCAGGAAAAATGGATGAGGGTCGAAAAAGTACAAAAGGTCGCGTATTGAGGAGGTATAAGTGCTATTTTGTAACCAATTTACAAAATTATGGGGGCAACCGTTTCTTTACTCACCCGATAAAACTACTAATATGAACGTCTCGTCTTTTATTAACAAAGGTGGACTTTCATTGACCGTTGATGATGTTTCAATCAAAAATAGGTACATTGGTACACGAATTCAGGTCAATCGTTCTAGTAAAAGGTTGAAATAGTAATAAATTTTTATGGGATAACAAATTAACTATTTTATTATTATGACCTTGTACATTGCCAAAATACTTTTTGTAAGTCAAGGTAAAGTAGGTATAATATACGTTTTGTGATCTTGATTAGACAGTTTTACTATATTTATTTAAATTTTACACAATAATACCTAATATATAGCAATGCCCATTAAAAATTTCTTCAGCCTCATCATATAAAACCGACGTCAAACAACACATGCGTTGTGTTTAGTTGTGTGAGTGAGGTTACCGGAGGCCAATTACCCCCCTCTCAAACATCCCAATCCCAGAATCTCCCATAATGCACAAATTTCAAATTCCCAAAAGGCCGGTAACGCACTTGTAACGCCTCTGATGTTCCAGGTGTCCATGGACGACGCCGATTGCTTACCATCAGGTGATCCGTCTGCTCGTTTACCGGCTTTACGTTACTACGTAAAAAAACGACTTCAACCCCCTCTTTTTTTGAGTTCGGTGTATTAATATACTAAAACCTTCTACTAGGTAAGTGTAACAAACACTTTTCTGAATACCACATCAAAATCGGTTCAGGCAATCGCGAGATATTCGTGCACAAACATACATACATACAGATCAAACTAGCCGCCTTTCTTGAAGTCAGTTAAAAAAATCAAATAAGCATAACATAACATAACATAATCATCACGCCTTTTATCCCCGAAGGGGTAGGCAGAGGTGCGCATTACAGAACTTAATGCCACTGTACATACATATACTGTTATGAGTCCCATGTAATAGGGGGTGAGCCTATTGCCATATACCGGGCACAATTCCAGACCCCGTGCTACTACTGAGAATTTTTAAAAACCCAGTAATACCGACCCGGGAATCAAACCCGAGACCCCATGCCCTGCATTCGCAGTTTTTTTATGAAATAGGAGGCAAACGAGCAGACGGATCACCTGATGGTAAGCGATCAGCGCCACCCATGGACACCCGTAACACCAGAGGAGTCACAGGTGTGTTGCCGGCCTTTTAAAAAGGAATACGCTCTTTTCTTGAAGGTTTGAAGGTCGACGAGGCAGTCGTAACAAATAAACAATAACATAAAAACCACAATAACAAACTCACCTTCCTCTTCTTGAAGGATAGTGTACGCCGCCATATTGACCGGATAAAGGTGGACGGTATGCAATATTGTTCCGATAGGGGGCGCCTGGAGCGCACCTCCGTCATCACAGTCATCACTTTGTTACACCAGTAGCATTGTGCACATTATAATTTGAACTTTAATTTCAGTCTAGTAAAGTCAAATTTGGATTGCAGTCAGATAAGTTAAACTTTGATTTTTTAGTTAATTTGATACACTTTAAAGCACTTTTTGACTGTTTTTCATCATTTTATTTTTATATAGATAAGAGTTTTTCTATAAAGATAATATAATATGTTAGAGGATTTTGAATGCTCGTATTTATAAGATACCATGTACATCCCTATTCCTACAACAACCCCCAAGATTGAGGGTATTCCAAGAATATCCTACAGAAGTATCATCAAAATCTGATCAATAGTTTTGGAATAGAAGACAACCATACAAACATTAATGTTTACTATAAATTCAACTGTTAGACAAAGATCGACTAGTTTCGAACACCGCTATAAGAGCCCCGTTGTGCCTTGAAACTCATCGATCATACTTGAATAGTTAAGGGCCGCCGTAAATTATAATTATTATTTATTATAGTTAACAAAATGAGTAAAAACTGATTATTGAATAATAAGTAGAGAGATTTGAATTATTCACATCTAAAATAAAATGATTAAAGACCATTTCTTCTATATAAAGTCTATTAGATATTTTTTTACAAAGAGTGAGTGTTGTATGTGATATATTGTGAAAGCTTTACAGTACATCTGCCAAGTATAATAAGGAAAAGTATAAAATATAAAGTACTTTTTTTTTTTAAGGGGGGAAAATCATCGAATGACTGCTCCCGCCTGGATGAGGCGGAAGGGAGTGTCAGACTCTTACTGACTAAAAACCACCCCGTTCCTTCTCCTGCACGTCGAGCCGGAGCCCCGGTTACCCGTTAGGTTCTCCGCGACTCCGAATCGGCATCGGCCCTATTGAGCCCCATCTGTGGTGGTCTGATGACTCTTTGAGGCGCGCGCGGAACGCGAAAATATAAAGTACTAGCTTCTGCCCGCGACTTCGTACGCGTAATTCCATTTTTTCCCCTCCCCGTCCGTGATTTTCGGTAAAAACTAAAAAAAAAATGTTGGTTAAAAAGTATCCTATGTCGGTCTCCTGGCTCTAAGCTACCTCCCTACCCATTTTCAGCCAAATCTATTCTGCCGTTCTTGAGTTATAAGTGGTGTAACTAACACGACTTTCTTTTATATATATAAGATTGATTAAGGTGCAAGATAGATTTCAATTGATTCAAAGATCGATTGGTGTTTATTAGTCATGTAGTGTTGCTTCGCTTCGTTAGAAGTGGTTATTTATATTCAAGTAAGTTTTTAGAAACGTTGATTAAATAGTACAGTTTTAAATATCCTAATTAAGCCTGTAGAAGGTGCAGGGGGCTTACTCTTGAATCCAATTCCGATCGATCGACATTGACATTGTAAAATGTAGTACTCTTGAGTCGCAACACTAGCGCCTTATACATTCGTATTGCGTGGATATTGAATGAACTAAATGGTATTGAGTTTGGTTTTATATTCCGTACTCTGAATGCTATTGTAACAGCTACAATTGTGGTTGTATAGTGTTGATATTGAATCATTATTAAGGTTTTATTGGATTGAAATTGCATTGACATTGAGATTGGTTTCAAGAGTAAGCACCCAGGTATCAGTAGTTTGTCAGAATAACATCTTATCACTACATAGTATAAAACCAAGTCGCTATCCGCCGTCTGTCTGTCCCTATGTATGCATAGATCTTTAAAACCACGCAACGGATTTTGAAGCGGTTTTTTTAAATATATAGAGTGATTCTTAAGAAAGGTTTATCTAAATAATACATGCATATTGCTCCCGTGCGAAGCCGGGCCGGGTCGCAATTTAATATTATAAATGCGAAAGTACATGTTTATGCCAAAGTGGCTAAAGGGATCGAATTGAAATTTGGAACAGCGATAGATTATAGTCTGCTTTTTATCTCAGGGAAAAGCGAACGACGCCGCGGGCAGAAGCTAGTAAAACTTAATATCAATTTAGAGGCTCCAGGTACCTCTAGTAACATAGTTTGAAAACAAAAAATTCCGAAGCATTTATTTAAATTGAACCATAATTTGGTACTTTTGAAACGTCATCAAATATAAAATAAATAATAGTCTATTAGTCTGTTCGTCAGTGAAGCTAGATGTTTGTTTCGAAATGTAGATTCCAGTGGAGAAGAGTGTGGAAGAAAATCCATACGTTCACTCTTTTAAAAAAATTCCGTTGGACAATGTCCATGATACATATTCCAATATCGTACATATTACATGTAAGAACAATGTATAGACACACTTGTACGCTATGCTATCCATAATAAGCAAAGATACAAATACTAGATCTTTTTTACGAGGAAAAGAGCAGGCATATCGCCTGAGGATCAGAGTTTAGTCTTAGCCATAATACACGTACACACGGCTACACATCGAGCTTTACATAACCAGTATAAACTGGACGTTAAATGTGCGCAAAGATGATGCGACGCGACACCAGGATAAACTGGATTTGTATAGATTGATGTGTGGTCGTGTGTACGTAATATTTAAGAAGTAAGTTACAAATATATTCACGACTTTTCCTAACCGAGAGATCAAACACGAAACCTACCATTAACGGGTGCACTCAAATTGCCCCGAGGCGCGTAGGTCGAAAGAATACCAATAACAATATTTTTCTTATCAGTTACACAAAAAACAGACAATGTCAAATAACTTTTATCATTGCAAACAATTGTATGAATCCGGATTAGCGCTGAATTAGAGCATGCTATCTAAGGCTGACCACAGAGGACGCGATTACGTCGCCTACGCAGTCGCGCCGTGTATAGTGCATGATAACAGTCCACACTCAGTGATAAGCGAGAGCAAATAGTGGGGTAAAGCCCACATAATCCCAAGATCATTATATTAAATTCAAGGGCGTTCAGACGAATGCATTGTTTTACTTGTGAAGTTGAATCTCTTCCAATGGTTTACAACAGTTTCATAAGGCGGGCACGCTCGAATTTAATGCTTGACGTCCACCATGAATCGGTAACGCTTCGCCGATTGTCTTGTGGTACGATGATGGAATGGACTAGGGGGAATCAAGTTGTGCAATTCCCCCGCACAGTCACCGAAATGTACATACATACATACATAACATCACGCCTTTTATCCCCGAAGGGGTAGACAGAGGTGCACACAGAACTAACACTCACTTTTCACTATTTATGTTATTAGTCCCATGTAATAGGGGGTGAACCTATTGCCATATACCGGGCACAATTCCAGACTCCGTGCTACTACTGAATTTTTATTTAAAACCCAGTAACACTTTGCCCGACCCGGGAATAGAACCCGAGACCCCTTGCCTGGCAGTCGCACTTACGACCATTTAGCCAACGAGGCAGTCACCGAAACGCATCCGGTAGAAAACCCAAAGGCATGCAACGCCTGTGTTTGAGGTTTATTCACCATAGGTATACCTTTTTTTAAGGGGGGAAAATCATCGAATGGCTGCTCAAGCCTAGGTGAAGCGGGAGGGAGTGTCAGACTCTTACTGACTAAAAACCACCCCGTTCCTTCTCCTGCACGTCGAGCCGGAGCTTCGGCAACCCGTTAGGTTCTCCGCGACATAAGTATGCTTTACTGGTACTTAATTCTTATATAAGAAAAGAAATACCTAATAAACACCCGATTCAATTAAGCAATTACCAAAAAAAACTAATAATAATAGCAAGGACTATAAAATCCAGGTGCAAATAAATATTAGACTAGACCAAACCAGTCGTCTAAATTAAAACACAGACCTAGGTTTTCCCAACACTGAAACAAGTCAGGCTAGATATTCAATAATATCAAAGACTATAAAAAAGTATATCTACCAAGAGATGCTTGCTATTAACGTCACCGACAGAAATAGACTAGGATAGCATGATTTAAAAAAGGTGTTTTCGAACAGGTAATGTTTATAAACAAAACTAAGGAGTTATGAGAAATTGAATCTAATTTTGAGAATTTATTAGAAATATTGTAAGTCGTATATTTCTCTGAATGGATTAGTAAATGAAAATAAACATATTGGAGAATTCTTCTTATGAATGTATTTTTGGGTAGTATGTTTCGTTTAAACAAAATTTTATTGAATAAGCCGGTAAACGAGCAGACGGATCACCTGATGGTAAGCAATCTGCGTTGTCCATGGACACCGGGAACACCAGAGGCGTTACAAGTGCGTTACCGGCCTTTTGGGATTAGGAATTTGAGGATTGTTGGGGATTGGGGAAGGGGGGGGGGGGTAATTGGGTTCCGGCAACCTCACTCACACGACGAAACACAACACAACGTTGTTTCACGTCGGTCTTCTGTAAGGCCGTGGTATCATTCCGGTCGAGCCGGCCCATTCATGCCGAAGCATGACTCTCTCACACTTAATATAACATAACATCACGCCTTTTATCCTCGAATGTATAGGCAGAGGTGCACATTACGGCACTTTATGCCACTGTACAATGTAACACCCACTTTTCACTATTTATTTTATGAGTCCCATGTAATAGGGGGTGAGCCTATTGCCATTTGCCGGGCACAATCCAGACTACGTGCTACTACTGACATTAAAAAAAAACCAATAATAGTTTGCCCTACCCGGTAATCAAACTCGAGACCCCTTGCCTGGCAGTCGCACTTGCGACCATTTGGCCAACGAGGCAGTCATTTCGTTACAACTGCAATATTATATGCAGGTTTCGTAATTTATCAGTTTGTTTTTGTAAGTGTTATCTCTTAAACCACTGAACCGGTTTCGATAAAGAAGTCGTGAGAAATTGGCAGACGATGTTATTATTAAATATAGTAAAAATAAGATATTTTTTATGCTAACAAAACTTACGACCCGTCTGATGCTAAATACCATATTTTAAATAATTTATACAGGCTATACGAAAGGATGACTACGTAAAAAAGTTTATTTGCGCGCAAATTAAATTTTTTCAAATTCAAATCACTGTAATGCGTCTATAGTGTGTACAGGGTGGTTTACAATCTTTGACAATATATTATGTTCCAACTATAGGCCCCTTTGGGCACCGCAAAAGGGACAGAGAGAGAAAGCAAGCAGCTGCCGAAGAAAGAGACATAAGACAATATAAGAAGGTCGAAAAATCTAAAACCCAAGTTAAACTATAAATTAAACCAGATATTTTTATCACTCTTAGGACCGATCTTTCCAACGCCACATTTTTATCAAAGGAATGAATTTAAGTATTTCACAAAACTTCGATACTGAAAACTATCAACTGTTGTCAATTTTATTCTACAGTTAAGAATTATCTGTTGATTAAAAATCGGTCCTCAAACTGTCAAACACCGCGAGGACACCGGTGACCGCAACCTATTGTTTTTTCAATTGTGTCTATAATGACGGTACTCAAAGGGTTAAACGAAGTTATTAAGAAAATGAGTAAGATATTTATAGCAGTTATCTACAAAATGCATTTTATTATTGAATGATAGTGTACGCTGTACAATTCACACGGTGTAAATCGATACGTCATGTAATCGATACATGTGATAATAATATCGTTATGAACAATCCCAGTTAGATAGTACAAGTGCAAGACATGTGAACCACTACTACATAGTATTATACCTATAATAACAGAAAAGGGGTAAGCAGAGTTGGAGGCCCAATTATCCCCAGTCTCACCCAATCCCCGAATCCTCCACCTCCTCAATATTCCACATTCCCAAAAGGCCGGTAACGCTGATCGTGCTGCGCGAACGCTGAACTGATTAGTTCAATTTAATATGTTTTGGTTTCTTTCATTATTTAAACCAATTGCAATTGCTCTCCCACACTTTAAAATTAACGATATTTTTTCAGTTGACTTAATTCTTAAAATATGTATAATGTATTAATCCATTTTATTTCCTGTCAGAACGGTTACCAGGCATTATAATTATGCTACAGATTATAAAGTAAACTCGCACAGATGTAAGTAATTCCAGCTGGTAATTCTAAACTAAATGATTCATAACTAATTATAGATGATGCTCTCTTGTGGGTTCAATTATAATTTATTGAACATCCAGGTAAACAGTACGGCAATGGAGACTAAGCAGTTACTTATTAAAAGATTAATATAATTTTATTCAGAGGCTATTCGAAAATATATTTTTTATACTCTAATACCCTGGCTATAGATTTTAAAATCGAATAACACCTGCTTTGGTAGACCTGGGTAATGAATTTGATGATTTTCTATCATTCATTCAGCTTTGAAAGATTTGTAGGGAAAGCCATGCTTCGGCACGAATAGGCTGGTTCAAACAACACTTGCGTTGTGTTTCGTCTTATGGATGAGGTTAGCGGAGACCCAATTACCCCCTCTCCTCCCTAATCTCTGAATCTAACAATCCTCAAACTCCTAATCCCCAAAAGGCCGGTAACGTATTTGTAACGCCTCTGGTATTCCGAGTGTCCATGGGCGATGCCGATTGCTTAACATCAGATCCCACAAGAAATATCTTGATGAATAAAAATCTATATATCTATATAAAATACAAATAAAACAAACATCAGGTAACTCATATAAGATGGACACGTTGTCTCATCTCAATAATGACAATGCAAATTTGAATGTCTTGCAGATGTCTGTCTGATTTGATTGAGCAAAAAACTATAAAATATTCGTGTCATCGTTTTTGTGTGAACACTTTAGTCAGAACTGCAATACATTACCGGTGACATATAATCTGTAGTTACTGTTTTTATTGAGACATCCTAATATTGCTGGGTCTTTAACCTCAGGTATGTCGGAGCGTAGATCTAGACGAGACACAAAGCGTTTTCTATTGTGTCTTATATATCGACAGACAAGAGGTTAAGGGGAGGGGGAATCATCCAATGACTTCTCCCACCCTGGGTAAACACCACCCCGTTCCTACTTCCGAACTTCGAGCCAGAGCCCCAGTGTAACCCTTTAAGATATTGCTGGATTAAAGGAAGACCCGATTCGAAAGTCAAATTATATCAAGTAAAAAGGTATAATAACGCTCCGATAAAGAAAAAAAATATGGGACAGGGGATTCCACGGACACCAGTAATACCAGAGGAATAAGAAGCGCGTTGCAGGCCATTCCATGGGACGTCCAGTAGCCACATCGAAAACCGACGTGAAACAACGCTTATGTTGTGGTGCTTCGTGTGAATGAAGTTACTGGAGGCCCAACTACTCCAATCTCCCCAATCCCCGAACCAACAACAATCCTCAAATTCCTAATCCCAAAAGGCTGGTAACGCACTTGTAACGCCTCTTGTGTTTCAGGTGTCCATGGGTGGCGCGGATTGCTGCCATCAGGTGATCCGTCTGCTCGTTTACCGGCTTATCATATGGAAAAATCTAACTGACATGGTGAAAACCATGCTGTGGTTTTCTCTGTGTTTGTGGTGTCACTTTGCTAGAGCCAGTATATTTGTGATAATACTTGGCCTCTAAAATGTAATGGCGACTAATGTTTGTAGATTTTCTTTAAGGGCGGAAAATCTTCGAATGACTGCTCCCGCTCGGGTGAGGCGGGAGGGAGTGTCAGACTCTTACAGACTAAAAACCACCCCGTTCCTTCTCCTGTACGTCGAGCCGGAGCCCCGGCAACCTGTTAGGTTTTCCGCGACAATGTTTGTAGATATGGTTCTATCTTTAAATACTATGATTTAAGTTATACATAAATTACTACACCTTTCATCACCACAATCGTCAATTCTATTAAACCATTTAGTTCTACAAACGTCTACAACCAAAAATGGTTCTTATATCCTAAGTGGTCGAGTTTAAATCAAAACGAATCGAAGTTATATTAGTTCTACCATCTGTAAGCTTTTAAATATTTGTTTCTGCTAATATTTGCGTAGATACGCTAATAAATTATAAATCGTATCCTATTGTGGTACTATTAATAACTCACATAGACAACATATATCTCCATCCTATTAATATTATACACGCGAAATATATTGTGGGTTTGTGTGAATCTTTGCCTGCCTCGTTGGCCGAGTGGTCGTAAGTGCAACTGCCGAGCGAGGGGTCTCGGGTTCGATTCCCGGGTCGGGCAAAATATTACTGGGTTTTTATAAATGTTCTCAGTAGTAGCACGGAGTCTGTAAATGTGTCCGGTATATGGCAATACGCTCACCCATTATTACATGGGACTCATAACATAAATATTGAAAAATGGGTGTTACATTGTACAGTGGTATAATGTATTATTCCCGCAGAGGTGCACATAACGGCACTTAATGCCACTGTACAATGTAACACTCACTCTTCACTATTTATGTTATGAATCCCATGTAATAGGGGGTGAGCTTATTGCCATTTACTGGACACATTTCAAGACTTCCTACGACATACTTGAATTCAAAAAAACCATTAATACTTTGTCAGACCTGGGAATCGAACCCGAGACCTCTTGTTCGGCAGTCGCTCCTGCGAACACTGGGCCAATGAGGCAGTCTATGTTACTGGGATAAATGTACAAATGTACACAATACAATTTTAACTAATTTGTGACTAGATTGCTTGAATAACAAAACATACAAAACACTATGTATCTATTAATATCTATACAGAGACAATTTAAAGCTAACCTTTTAGATGAAGCAACTTTTTCATACTAACGTTTTTTAAGTCCAAACTCGCTTGGCAAGTTTTTAAGTCTACAAGTTAAATTATTCACACAATGTCATTTTATAAAGACACGATTTTTATCTTATTTGATATGAGTTTTAAAGTAGGATGAATAACGGCGACCTTTTTGCGAATGTAAATTGCATTTTGTATTTAAATAAGTAATAAAACATATTAAAATCTACATATCAATGTTAAGTGTGTTTGTTTGTTTGTTTATTAGTCTTATGCGCAAAAACTACTAAGCAGATTAAGATGAACTTTACCATAAAGATAGATTACAGTTTGGAATAACAAATATATTACTTTTTATACCGGTAACGCGCACGAAGGCGCTGGCAGAAGCGTATATTTTAATAACAATGTAATGAATTAAACCGGATCATAATAAATATACGTACGTAATATGTAATAATTTAGTATATATCAGTATATAAATGGTATTTTGATTAAATACGAGCACAGAATCCTCTAGTTTTACTCTAAAGTTTACCTGTTATGTACACAATACATACATTATATATATCTACACACTATACAATATATAAATAAACCACTTTTATATATCACTCATATACACTTTAATTTTATTAATATTCCACTTCACTTCACTCTATAAGTTACCAGTTAGTTAGTTTTTTTTTACTTTAGTTTTTAATTTTATAGTTTGTTCCAAAGTCACCGCGCGGTACTTCGTCGCCGAAATCGTACTAAATACTAACACTATGTTTTCAATATGACACTGCTAAAATGCCAGATAATACATTTAGTATACTCCCACTAGCAAAAACCGTAACGCAACTAAACTATGTAAATGAAAACCAGTCTCATTGTCTACGGAATAAAGTCCATATTGAACTCGATACAGCGTGCACGTTACGTCATTCTCGAACGGCTACAAAAGATAAACACTGAAAAATGTAACGGGCAATCGATAATAAATTTTATACGCAATTTATTAGAGTTTAAATTTGTTCGAGAGAGGCACTTAGGAAAACGCTTCGAAAATCTCCGGGGGCACGATTCCGTGTGAGTGAGCGAGATGGAATATATAGACAAGGTCAGCCTCATAACACATATATAATATACAGTTTGAGAATTATATCTCATTTACTGAAGACAGGTTTTTGTTTTTATGTTCTTCATACATAATTAAGTCAGTTTCATTATCCTACACTTTATACATCGAAGATTAATTTGATCTTTATTACTCAAGACATAAGTGCGAATTAGTGTGTGAAGTAGTTGCATAGTTTATGAAAACACGTGTCCCTTACACGTGGGTCAACGGTCAGAGGGAGAAAAACAATGTTAACGTATCAGCTGTTTACTATAAACTTGATATAAGTGCAATTATTCTGAAATAACTTGCAATATTGCACTCAATATAAGTGCAGAATAAAATACATTTTTCAATATCTCGACTCTTCTATTGTGCATCAGAAGAGCCGACTAACAACCGACAATAGCCAACTTCTGTCCAAAACCTATGTAAAAAGATCGATTTATGACATTCATTTTATTGAGTTTTTATCAAAAACAAAAGATCGACCCAAACGTAATGGATCATTAAGACCGGTTCTTAAATTCGACCGTAAAGATATTTGACAGTACGGAGCCGTGGAGAAGAACGGGTTACCGGGGCTCCGGCTCGAAGTGCAGGAGTAGGAACGGGGTGGTTTTTAGTCAGTAAGAGCCTGATGGAGTGTCCGACTCTTACTCTCTCACTTCACCCAGGGTGGGAGAAGTCGTTCGACGCTTCTCCGCCTTTAAAAAAAGGACATTTGACAGAGATAGGGGCAGCAGCGCTTACTAATAATGAAACTTTTATACTGTCGTCTGCAACCGCCACAGGCGACAAATCCTTAAATGCTGAAAAGACTCTTCATCCAGCAGTGGACTGTTGGTCCAAAACCCCGAAGGGATAGGCAGAGGTGCACATTTCGGCACTTAATGCTACTGTACAATGTAACACCCACTTTTCACTATTTATGTTATGAGTCCTATGTAATAGGCGATGAGCCTATTGCCATATAACGGGCACATTTCCAGACTCCGTGCTACTACTGAGATTTTTAATTACTGAGATTATTTAAAAACCCAATAATATTTTGCCCGACCCGGGAATCGAACTCGAGACTCCTTGCGACCACTCGGCCAACGAGGCAGTCTTGGTCCAAAACCTGAGCTGGTGTTGGCTAATTACGGCTATTTAAGTATCCTTGACTTCATAATAAAAATAAGGTCTTTATTTCAGAACTAGCTTCTGCCCGCGACTTTGTACGCGCAATCCCATTTCCCCCCCGTTCCCGTTCGTGATTTTCGGTACAAAGTAAATAAAAGTATTGTATAAAAAGTATATGTCCTATGTCCGTCTCCTGGTTCTAAGCCACCTCCCTGCCAATTTTTAAATAAATCGATTGAGGCGTTCTTGAGTTACTTTTGTATATATAGATTGTACGCTCCATATCATATACTATAAGGAACAGAAAACAGTCCTATGTACACTAGATTGAGCAGAAAGTATTACGTATTTAGATTCAACTATAATAAAAACGCGTCCGTCTCCAAATATTGTTAATTTCTTACATAACAAACCGGTATAGAATCAACATTTTGAATCAATTCGACTGTACACAGGTCAGAGGTCAAAAACTATATAAATAATCAAACAACGATATATTCTTGGACGTGCATAAATTATTAATTAAGAGTGACCGTGTGTTCGATTCTTTTTATTTAAAAACTGTGTTGATTATGAAAATATTAACTTTATAAATACTATTTATTATTTAAACACGATTTTATCCACGTATGGTTATCATTATTATAATTTTTTATAGCATAAGCCGGTAAACGAGCGGACGGATCACCTGATGGTAAGCAATCGGCGTCGCCCATGGACACCTAGAACACCAGAGGCGTTACAAGTCGGTTACCGGCCTTTTGGGGAGTAGGAGTTTGAGAATCGTTGGCGATTTAGGGATTGATGAGATTGAACCTCACTCACACGACGAAACACAACGCAAGCGTTGCTTCACGTCGGTTTCCTGTGAGGCCGTGGTATCACTCCGGTCGAGCCGGCCCATTCATGCCGAAACATGGCTCTCCCACAGTTAAAATACTTTATATATACTATTTATTTATATATTTTATAAATACTATTTATTATTTAAAAGCCATTTTGTCCGCGCATGGTTATACTGGTATTAGAATTATCTTTTTTTTCTCTCAGATGCTATTATACTTGGTAAAATTAGATTTTTCTATATTGTAGTATCTATTAAATATTCTATTTGGCCAGGCTACAAATGCTATAACCGAATCTAGAATTTTTCAATACTAGATTCAGTATTTTTGAAACAGCCATCGATTTCCGAAATTAGTATGTCATCCACGGTAATATGAAAATTCTTCCAATGTGTAGGACGGCTTACCTCTATTACATATTAACCTAAAGCCTGACTGGCTAAAATGTGGTATCATATTTAATATTTTGTATCAATCCTTCAGGGACTAAAAATAAATATACATACACTAGCTACTTCCGCGCGGTTTCACTCGCTCTGCTCGGCGCCTATTAATCGTAGCGTGATATTTTATAGCCTATAGCCTTCCTCGATAAATGGGCTATCCAACACAGAAAGAATTTTTCAAATCGGACCCGTAGTTTCGGAGATTAGCGCGTTCAAACAAACAAACAAACTCTTCCGCTTTATATAATAGTATAAGACTATAAGATACATAACCTCACGCCTTTCTCTCATGGGGATAGAACAGAGACTATGAAACTCCAACTGCTACGATTCTTACATACTTCTTTCGCTTCATCATCAATCAAGTCTTTTCATGCATGCTCGTCGGTTAAGGGCACCCACATAAAGGTAGGGAAACACTATTTATTTTTATTTACATTGCATCTATTATAAAAATATTCCTACTGAGTATCTAAGATACAAGAGTATAACAATTGACTATCTCCCTCGCCTTGACAAGTCGCTTGCAATAAAAACGTCGTTATCTTGTTATCAGACGAACTTTGTATGGTAAATAATAGCTGCAGCGGCCGCCATCTTGGAATCTCGCGTTGTAAGGAGTTTTTATGTGTTTTTACCTTATTTGAGTTAAAAGTTTTGTCTAGTGTAGCTATGTGGGTGGTATGAGGAAGTGGGCTTTGGTGGCAATTTTGGTTTATATAATAATAACTAGCTTTTACCCGCGGCTTCGCTCGCGTCACAGAAGGATACATACAGCGCCATTTATACCAATACTTTTGTTTTCCCTCGGGAATATCAAATTTTTTTGGGATAAAAAGTACCCTATTATTTAATCCAGACCACTAACTTTACGTCTGCAAAAATTTAATGCAATCGGTTTAGTAGTTACGGCGTGAAGTTGGAACAAACAAACTCACTTTCCCCTTTTTAATATTA